TGAGGAGAGTGGAACCATTTCTTTCAGAAATACTGAGCTGAGTGAATGCGTTTAGTGGTAGTAAAGCCTGGCAACCTGATACTGAGAATAAAAAGGAGTCTAGTCACCTTGCTGACTTACTGCAAATCTGGGATCATGCTCATGATGTTAGCCCCTAAATTAGCTATGTACCAAAGAGAGAGAATGGGATCTGCAGTACCTACCACCTTTAAAAAGCAAAACTAGATAGGGAAAATGCTAAAGGAAAAGATGCAGGTTAATATGAAACAGTTAATCTAACAAGCAAAGTCTTACTAAACAAGTGTCAAAACAAACTGTGCTTCAGGTCAGAATTGTTTTTCTGCACTCTTTAAAAATAAATAAAACAAGAAACAAGAACCCCAAAGAATCATCATAGAATCATAGAATCTTAGGGGCTGGAAGGGACCTCGAGAGATCATCTAGTCCAACCCCCCTGCCAGAGCAGGGTCACCTAGAGTACATCACATAGGAGCTCATCCAGATGGGTTTTGAATGTCTCCAGTGAAGGAGACTCCACAACCTCCCTGGGCAGCCTGTTCCAGTGCTCTGTTACTCTCACAGTAAAAAAATTTTTTCGGATATTCACCTTGAACCTCCTATGCTCCAATTTACACCCATTACCCCTTGTCCTATCACTGGTCATCATATTTCTATCAAATGTATCACTTGACTGACACCGGTGTGCAAAATATTCAGAAGAACTTAACGATTTAGTTTATACTTCACACATTTCAAAACAAATTATTATTTTTTGTTAAACATTACAGTACCTTTTAAATGTTTTGCCTTTTCTACTGTTGTATAAAATTTTAACTTTTATTAATTTATGAGATCATACTTAATTTCCTGTATATTTTCCAGTATTTATTAAATGTGCATTATAGGAACACATCAAGTTACATTAAATGTTGAGCTCTAGTGTTTTGAAGACAGTTTTAACAGTTTCTTTGTGAATTTCATTTCCATTTCCAGCACCTGGCCTCACTGGAGTTGTTGGAGGGCGCCCCAGAGTGTAAGTTAATTGCTAATCATTCATCTGTTGTAATGTATGATAGTAGTGTTCCTGCCACCCACCATCACAAGTTTCCTCACCTTGAAACATCAACCACAGATGCAACTAAAGTATTTCCATTGCATACCATGCTCAGTGATAACAACAGAGTAGTGAGTGCTGCAGGGTCTGTATGCAGATGGGTCAGTTAAATCCCTGATCAGCTCATAACAACATCTTTGCTTCATGACCTGTGGGGAGAACATTAAACGTGACTTTATGGCAGGGCAGGAGCTCAAGCATGTACCAATACATGCAGATTTCTGGACCAGATTTCTCTTGCACCTGTTAGACTGGAATATGAGCACAGCAAATTGTGTCTGTACTAGCCCACTTTACCTAGAAATAAGAGGTCTTATGTCCCAGAACATCACACAAAATGAACTTACTACGTGAACAAGCTGAACAGAATAATGTTGAGCATATTAAAAATAAATCCTGGTTTGATTCAGTATTTTTCTAGATACAGCTAAAATCTGGTGATTTCTGTGCTCACCTTTACATACTTACTCATGAGAGCATCTAAAACTTTCTTATCCCTAACCAAATACTTAGATATGTCTATTATTCTATGATTGTATATATTTTCAGTAGCTGTGTGTCACTAGCCTAGCTATCAATGTGGGGCTAGTGACAGTGCAGTAGATTACGATGTCAAGAGGTGCATCCTTAGTCAGGAAGATGTTTTTGGTATTTTGGCTACCCACCCCTGAAAATTTTATTTTTAAAAAAAAAACCAAAACATGACAGAATATTATTTTCTTAATAAGGAAATTTAAGGAATCTCTACACTTGGGCTTTCCAGAGTTGTTTGGAAAATTATTGCTAATCATGGCTAAATAGATTTTAATTTCCCAAGTGTTTGTCTGATGTATGAATAGTCTAAAGATATTTGATTTGACATTTTCATTAGTTTCTCATTTAATGCATTTATGCTTGTTGTGTTGTATGTCTAGGTCTCCAGTTTTGAAGCCATTTTTTTTCTATTATCCCAAAAGCAACGTTCAGGTAAGACTTACTTCTCAAAGCCTGCTCTGTTCTCTTTGAAGTAATTTGAAAAGTCTGCTGACTGGCATTTTTCAGTGACTTTGAGACCGAAAACTGCGAAGTGTTCTGGTAACTTTGATTAAAATTGTTTTCCCAGAGAATAATGTTATTCACACAGAATGTTTTACAACAGTTGAACTTGCCAACCTTACCTTTTAATTGCTGTGAATTTTGAAACGTCTTGCATCAAAACTGAATTTCTCTTCTCAGGTTCCTAGAATTGTAGGATTGAATTGTTTTTACTGCATTTGCAAAGAGTGCTTATGAAAATGATGTTTTTTGAAAGTTAATGGTCACTCCTTAATAAGGAGACAATTGGTTGTTCAGAGAGTTGAAAACTAATCTTGTGAATCTGGACACATCTTCTGACTTTTAGGGTGGTCTGCGCTTTGTGCATAATAATGGAAGTAAGTATTAAAAGCGGTTAATTTCCTCTGATTGACCTTACCAGAGAGTTGGTCCTGTTCCTTTAAAATACCCTGTCTATAAAAATATGAGTAGGAATTTCTACCCTTGCCTATATTTCAAAAACTGTAAAATTAGGAAAGCTTGTGTGACTGCTGTGATGAAGGTACTGGAGGAGCCTGTGAATGAGATCTGTTTCTGTTCAGTTAATAACAATAGTTTATTTCAGTCTGAGAAGTTATGGTTTAGGTGAGTAGGCATCCTAGGAAAGAAATTACAGGGTAAGATGAAACACTGAGCTAGAGCACTACTTCTTCATTATGCATGTACCTCTGTGTAGGTTGCAGTCTTCAAGATTAAACTGAAGAACTTACTTTACTAAAAACATAAAAATACTTTAATTTATAAATGTTGGTTGCTGCTTTTTGAATGCTACCAAATACTTAATTTATCCTTAGGAAACTGCAGACAAAACTGTATATAGGCCCTTCTTTTTCCAAGGCCTTTAATTAAATTTTAGCTACTGCATGCATCTCATGACAAGGCATCCTAATTATGAAGCTTCTCACTCAGTAAGAGCTTTCTCACTCATTAATCATAAAGCAAGTGGCCAAAGGCTTCCCTGCACAGGTGGCAGGAGCAAGAAGAGATGCTATTGAGTTATTAAAACTATGTTTATATACTGTGCATAGTGGAAAAACCTTAAAAAAATCCCACCTTCTTTTCATTTAAAGAAACTCAAGTACTTATTTGCATTGTCACTTAACGTTTTTGTTTATACAAATGGCCTGATTTTGCCAAGTTTAATATGAAATTATTATCTTTATGGAAGTTCAGGTACTACTGTTTTCTTAATCAAATTAAATATAAACTTGTTAATTAGCACTGTGTTCCAGACTTGGTAAAATGCTGTTGAGATGAAATACTGACCTAATTTATCAAGGAAAGAAAGCAGTATCTCTCTACTCTTTTCAACACAGAAAATCAAAACCCTTGCTCTAGGTAGCTAAGCTGATGAATGCACTGATATGCTGTTAGCAAAATGCCGTGTGACCTATCAGGGTTGTACTGCAGTAATATTAAAGGTTATGTAAAAGTGTGGTGTAAGTAATTTGAGTCTTTTATTCTAAGTTTTAGCTATTTATTAACAACTGTGGTCTAGCTAGAGATTATTAGAGTAATGTAGGTATGAATTAACTGCTTTTCTTGATGGGAAATTCGGTTACAAAGAGTCTAGTTGCTCTACTTCAGCATTTGACCTAAAACCAAAAAAACCTCCGTAAGGAGATTTTCAAATATTTTAACATTGCCACAGTGGGTCCTTTTGTTTTCTGTTTGATAACACCTTTCTAGGTGTCAGTTTGGATTCAGTTTCTCATTTGTTGTTTCTACTGATCTTATATAATTGCCCCAAATTTATCATAGTTCACCAGTGGTTTTTACAGTGCAAACAGTAGCTGGTTTCCATGTACACTTTTTCTTGCTTAAAAAATAGCCTGAAAGTTTCCCTGCAGAAAAAAAATAAAACTGCTGAAAGCAAGAGCAGCTTTACTGAGATATTTCAAATTTATTTATGGTTTTAAAAAATCTTCTTGCATAAGCATTGGAGGCCCTTGTCACTGCTAGCTGTTCTCTAAGAACAAACTTGAGAAAGAGAGCTAGGATGAGTAGAATTATCTTGCATGTGCTGATGACTGAGCACTGAAAACTGATGCAGTTAAGTTGGTCTGTGGTGTTTTGTAGTGGAAGTGTCAGCTGGCTGTATGTCTGAGTCTTTAGTACTGGGAATCCTCCAGTGCAGATGAAATGGATACAGTTAATTTTTCTACATGATTGTGTTGTATGATTTAAAAAACAAACCTTTTCTTACATCTTAAGTCCAATCAGTTAATGAAATAGCAGACTTGACTGTGTATCTTGTCAGATTTCTTTGGGGGCTGGCGTATGGCATTGGGCATGGCATTATTTATTTCATATTTTAATCTCAACATAAGCTCAAAATATCCAGTACTAATTTTGTTTTTATAAGTTGCTTTCACAAAATGTGTTTGAAGATGAATTTAAGATCCAAAGAAAAGTTTGTCTTTAATACAGACAGTGCCTTGAAGAGAAAAAGGTGGTTATATTATGGAAGAGCTGGAAGCTTTCAAGTTTTGGGATCAAACTATCAAGAATGACACAATTCCATGTAATGCTGATGTATAGAGAGAGAGAGGTGGAAAGAAAGAGATTGTCTTCCTTTAAAACATACCCATTTGGATACAGCTTTTTTCTGATTTTTATTTTCCCTTACACAAAAATGTCTTTCAGGTGTTTAATGGATCATTACTGGTTTTGTGACTTTTTAAAAGGGAGGGACAGAACTTTATCCATAAAGCTGTTACTGACTATTTGCCAGACCTTAGTTAGAGATAGAGTTTATTCATTCACATGTCACCCTGGCTTTCTAATTTGATGATTTGAATGTTTTTTCCAGATCAACCTATTTTTAAATGGGCAGCATGTTGAGACATTTGAGGAGGATCTCACGTTTACATCAAATGAGGTTGTTTCATTTGATCCACCTAAGATTAGCAGTGAATTAAAAGGTATGTTCATCTTTTTATTTGTGAATATCTCACTTGCTGCTTTTTCCTTTGTTTAAGTTAATTGCAAAACACTTAAGCTACATTTATTGCAAAAAGGAAGGGTAGTGTCACACGGTATAAAATTAATTTGAGATTATGACAAATATGTAAGTGAGTTGTTATTCTAAAAACCTAAGTCATTGATGTAACGGAAGACAGTTGAACACTGCCTTGAAATGGAAACATCATTTTCAAGTATACTGCAGTCTTACATAATTAATCCTGGAAATAGCCAGGTCTACCTTACATCAAAATAATTATGTTCAGAACAGAGGACAGACTTACAGAATGCTTAGCATTTTCATAATTAAAATCTGGCCCTATTCTTTAGGGCAGCCTTTACAAAATGAGCAAGAATGGGATCAACCTGGAACTGGTGACTAACAGGGAAAACAGACTAGGCCAGTGTTCCAGCATGATGATTCCTCTGTTACTGTTAGACTTGTCTAACCAAGTTCTCTGAAGAAAGACGGCACTTGAGAAGGGCAAATCACTGAGCTGGACAGAGCAGGCTTCAATCAGAGTTGTTTATACAAGCTAGGTATTAGGTTTTGGATTATTCAAAGTGCTAGACATTTGAAGATTTTTATGTTCTTTCTAATGGCAGAACTGTATACAGTATTTTTTGATGTATAACACACTTCATAATTCCCTTTTTTTGTCCAGAGTCTTTATTCCCTCATTCCTGGTCAACAGAGAAACGAGAGAATTAATTTAAAGCTATAGATAGATATTTTCAAATCTGAATGAGGTTACTTGTTGGAAATTTTTCTAAAAATAATGCTAATGCTGAAAGAGTAATTCAAGTATCTAAATCTGTGTAAACTCAAAAAGTTAATTGTGTGAAGGTGCTAATATGTCAAGATTTATTCTGGGTTCCAGATATAGCAGAGTAGTGTTTCTCAAAATTGATAATAGAATAGTGCAACAACTAATTTTAAGTTGCTAGGGATGTCCTGTTAGAAAAAAAATAAATATATGTATATATATATAACTGTGTTTGTTGCCGTTGGAAAGGCAGTGATACTCAATGCCTGATTGCTTTGCATGAGTTCTTTTTCCCCATCTAGTCAGACATCTCTTCAGTGCAAGGAATTTTGTTGTACAGAAACAAGTTAAATGCTTAAATATATTTTCAGCTTTTATGTCTGTTGAAAATCTAATGTCACACCAGAATCTCTGATACGTAGGAGTCCTGGTACTTTTTTGTTTTAAGGTGACTGCAGTGGTAAATATCGGAGAAGGAAAAAGCTCTTAGACTTTGTCTTTCCAAGATGCCTAACATCAGCATTTAAGTACTGAACTCTTAAGACTTCATTCAGGCAAACACCCACTGCTGAGGGACAGCAGAGCTCTTCTGGTTGTTTCCCCTAAGAAGAATCTCTAAACTTTTACTCTTATTTGTAAATAGAGAAGTTTTCTGTGTGTGACTAAATGCTTGGCTACTTCTGTGGCTGAACACGTGGACAGCACGGATGAGAAATAGGCAAATGAGTTAGACTGTAGAAGGAGTAAATTCTGCTAAAAGATTTTCTGTCAGCGTTTAGTAAGGAGGGAAGTACTTTTCTTAGTTTCATGGTTATCTCAAGTGTGAGGGACTGTTAGTTGTCTTGGAATAGATAAGAGAAATATGCGAAAATGGATTTAAAAAATGCTGCTAGATGTGATTCTGGGAGGGTGGAATTTGAATTTACCATTTGCCCTAGCTTTGAAGGGAATTCTTTGTACATTTGTTTAAGATGTTTATTAAATGAAAGCAATTTCCTGATAAACAGATAATGAAAGATAAATCACTTACGATAATAATAAATGAGAACACCAGAACACTGTCTTGAGTTGGATTTGTTTAAAGGGTGACTCAAAAGACTGTCTGGGCAGTAGCTGGACTATTTCAGACCCCTGTCAACGGAGATTTTTAATCAAAAGTAATATTCCCCAATTAAATAAATAAACCCTTTAATATTTTCTGCCTAGTTCTGTGGCACATCTCTGCTTGCATTTTTCATGGAAGTGAACATGGAGAAGACTGAGGGTCAAGTTCAAAACAAACCTCCTTTCTCAACTCTTTCATTGTATGCTTTCACAATTTCAAATTTCATGCTACCATAATTTATTACCAATTAAGAACCATTGTGCCAGACTAAACTATAATTACTCTTTCAGCTCATCTTTGACAGCAGCCCAATATATGTTATAAAACTTTAGTTCCTAGTTAAAGGATTTTAACGCTGATATGTTGCTGTTTGGGGTGTGGGTAGATGTTTTCTTTCTGATCCAGCTGTGCAAGTAGAAGCGATTGCTGTGGTGAGCCCCCAGTTTTTACTGTTTTCCCTGGTATTGCCATTCAAATGTGGCAGCAGGGCTACTCTTTAAAGTGTTGCCTGATCTGTTTCAACCAAATAAGTATCATGATACACATTATGTGTCAAATTGCAGTGAAGCATTTTTCTCATTCACAGTATCTCCCACCCCATACCCAAATGAACGTTTGTGATCTGTCCAGCTGCCACTGACATAGACTTGCAGCCTCCCTTTTCAATAGGAGTAGTGAAAACTGCAGCCAGTAGAACTTGAACATAGCAAAGCTGGGTAGGAAAGAAACTAAAACTCTTCAGGTTGGCCTAGTACATAACTGAGGAGTCAGGAATTCTTTCTAGGCAGGCAGGAGTTGAAGGTAATGATGCTTTAACTAGGGCTGGGCTTACCTGATCATCTGATAGAGTTCATGGTGTGTCTGTCTACCCTTGCCTTATCAGTAAGTGCATTTTAATTTAAATCATACATGAAATTACGATGGTGTTAATTTTGTTTTTAACTATAATTTAAACATTTATTTGTATCATGAGGTTGAACTTATATCAGATAATTACACTTCTTAATATAGTCTGTCTTTGGCCAGCATTTAGAGCAAAACGTCTTTAACGCTGGGCCTCTTACTCCCCAAAATTAAAAGCAAAACCACAAAAACCAGCACAATAGTTTGGTATCCTCAGCAGAAGCTGGAGCAATGCAGAAAAGATAGACTAATTTTCAAGTTGCATTGTGTCTTGCAACATGAAGTTTGTCCAACATAATTGATTTACAAGACCCTCTCCAATTAATTTAATTTTTTCTGGTTTTAAGTCATTAGACTGAAATTTTCTGTGACAGGCATGTGCTCTGGATTTAGTGTTTTATGAAAAAAAAATCATAATAATTTTGGACATTGGTAAGTTGCTGCTGGTGGCTGCCACCAGCAGCTGTAGCACCAGACATTGTGACAGAAAGCAAGAAGGCTGTTACTTGGCTGCTCTAAATGTTCCCCTTGCTGGTGCCCAAGGAGCAGAGGGAAGAGACTTTCCATTTGCATGCAGAAGGATGAGAAAACAAGAGGAAGGGGACAGAGGAGACAGCAACTGAGGGTTGAGATGTCTGCACACGGATCAGAAGCATAGATAGGTCTGTTGGAGATGCTGGGACTAAAAAGCTGGGGATGCTGGAAGAGCTGATATGGCCATAGGAAAGCTGGATGAGAAGCAAAACTGGCTGGAAATTACTAGATGCTTACTGCCTAAAAACTGGGATATAATCTATGCCTCAGGTTTCAATATTATACTGCTATAAGCTTGGTGACAAAATGAGGACTTCATCTCACTTTGGGTCACAGAAAATAGATGGTGACAACATACTTCTTTCAGGAATCAATGATTGTAAGATATCTGTGCCAAGTAACTTTACCATCAAACCTCACATTTAAATTGCATGGATCCCACAAGATTGAGTTTCTGGATTTGGTCAGGAACAGGTTTGCTTTTTTTGATGTGAAAATGGATAAAAATAATACTTAATATGAACTTTGTTCAGTGAGGGGCTAGAATCTTTGTTCCTAAAAGCTTGAAAGTCTGATACTCAGACATAGACAAGCTAAAAAATTAGGATTGCCTTCCTATAGAGGATGCTTTTGTGACCATTTATGACCTTTTCTTATATACTACTAAGATATTTACAAAATTAGTAAATTTATTTACAAAATTAGTAATTTGAAAAAGAAATCTTGTGTTTCTTCTAGCTGAGTAAGTAAGTAATAGCTGTTACAACAGTGCATGTGAAAGTTTGAGACATGTCTTGAAAAGGAGTTTTAAATTGCAACTGTTTTCTACAGACAGTATCAGAATAAATAGACATTAGAGAACTATCAGGACCATAGCAACTGTATGTATTTTCCACCTGCACTGGAAGCACAGAGATCTGAGTGCTAAGAGGGGAAAAGTTGCAAGCTAGTCAAGAAATTACAAGGAGCTGCCATGCCTCCTTCAGAGATACCACATTGCTAAGACCAAGATGAATTTTCATATCCAAGGTTGGTGGAAGAAGGGATACCTGGCACAACATTCATCTGTAACAATGTAAAAGGAATTTAAGAGAGAGGGAGGGAAGGACTGATTTAATAATTTTGTCCCCAAGCCTCACCTCATGTTCCCTACGTGTTCCTGTGAGAAGAGAGCTTTGGAAATGTTTCCAGGAAAACCACTCACGATGCAGAAAGGATACAATTAAAATAACAATTATTTCTTAAAAATGTGCTATTATTTGTAGCTATCATTAAAATGCATTCACTTTTTTATTGTATAGATCTGCCAAGTGGTCCACATACTTATCGCTTAGAAGACCTTGCCTATACTAGAAGTGGAGACAAAGGCAACTCTGCAAACATAGGTATTTTTATTTCTCGCTTTCTAAAGTGATGTGACATTTTCAAATAAGAATTATATATCAAGTAGTCACTAATATTTTTTTTTAATCTATCACATCACTAGGTTTTTTTTAATTGCCTCTGTGCTGAAACAAAACTAATCCATCTAAACCAAGGATTTTACTAATGAAATGCCTGTACTTTTCTCTTTAGCAGATGTTGAAATCTGAAAAACTAGGAAAAATTACTTGTATATCATACTACAAAAAAAGATCTTTGTCTAGGGTTACAAAGTCATGCTCACCAAAATTAAGAACTAGCTTTTTAAGTTTTCCTTTACACATTAGTTGCTGTGCCTTCGTGTGTATGTGTTAGGTAATAGAATCTTTTGGTTGCCTGATTATATATAATATTTCCATACATGAATTTTGTAGTGTATATATCATAAAATTGCAGAATGGTTTGGGCTGGAAGGGACCTTAAAGATCATCTAGGTCAAACTCCTCCACATGGGCATGGACACTCCCATTAGACCGGATTGCTCAACGCCCCATCCCACCTGCTCTTGAACACTTCCCGGGATGGGGCTTCCAAAACTTCCCTGGGCAACCTGTTCCAGTGTCTCACCACTGTCACACTAAAGAATTTCTTCCTAATGTCTAATCTAAATCTCCCCTCTTCCAGTTTCAATCCATTACCCTTGTTTCTTGCTACAAGCCCTATTGAAAAGTCCCTCCCCAGCTCTCCTGTAGGCCCTCTTCAGGTACTGGAAGGCCACTCTGGGGTCTCCCTGGCTAGTGGCCTTTATGTATGGCTGAAACATTGACAGTGTCAGGAAATACAAAAGTTGTTCTTGCATGTAAGAGAATATTTTTATTATATTGTTAATCCAAATGGTGTATTTCACTGTGCCATCTCTTTACATTGATTGTGCTGCTTCTTACATTGTTTAATAATCCCTTCTATTCCTTACTTCTGCATGCAACAATTGGCTCTCTTACTTGTTGGAAGATGAGAGTGTGTGATGTTCAAAGCTCAGTATGAATTAAAGGTGCGTTTGGGATTTGACTTGCTATTAGCTGTCATGCTATTTAGGAATATAGTTTTCTTACCATTGTATCTGAAACTGGTTTTTGGGCTGAAGAATGAAGGAATGCTGATTCTTTTTTTTTTTTTTTTTCACTTTTTTTAGTGAGGAAGTCACTATAGACTTCCTCATATATAATGACACTGTTGCTTTATTAAGGAGTAATAGTAACAACAAACTTGACCTCTAAGATTAAGTCAGCTTTGAAGTTCACAGATTCCTATTTCTCAAGAGATTCCTATTACACAAATCTGCTTTCCTAATGCTTCTGTAGAATGTCAGGTTGAACTGATCTGAAGCTTACGAAAGCATTTTCATAGAATCATAGAATCTTAGGGGCTGGAAGGGACCTCGAGAGATCATCTGGACCAACCCCCCTGCCAGAGCAGGGTCACCTAGAGTACATCACACAGGAACTCATCCAGGTGGGTTTTGAATGTCTCCAGTGAGGGAGACTCCACAACCTCCCTGGGCAGTCTGTTCCAGTGCTCTGTCACTCTCACAGTAAAAAAATTTTTTCGGATATTCACCTTGAACCTCCTATGCTCCAATTTACACCCATTACCCCTTGTCCTATCACTGGTCATCACTGAGAAAAGCCTAACTCCATCCCCCTGACACTCACCCCTTACATATTTGTAAACATTGATGAGGTCACCCCTCAGTCTCCTTTTCTCCAAGCTAAAGAGACCCAGCTCCCTCAGCCTTTCCTCATAAGGGAGATGTTCCACTCCCTTAATCATCTTCGTAGCTCTGCGCTGGACTCTTTCAAGCAGTTCCCTGTCCTTCTTGAACTGAGGGGCCCAGAACTGGACACAATACTCCAGATGTGGCCTCACCAATGCAGAATAGAGGGGGAGGAGAACCTCTTTTGACCTACTAAGCACACCCTTTCTAATGCACCCCAGGATGCCATTGGCCTTCTTGGCCACAAGGGCACATTGCTGGCTCATGGTCATCCTCCTGTCTACCAGGACCCCCAGGTCTCTTTCACCTACACTACTCTCCAGCAGTTCAGCCCCCAACCTGTACTGGGACATGGTGTTGTTCTTCCCCAAATGTAAAACTCTGCACTTCCCCTTGTTGAATTTCATCATGTTTCTCCCCGCCCAACTCTCCAACCTATCTAAGTCTCTCTGAATGGCAGCACAGCCTTCTGGTGTGTCAGCCACTCCTCCCAGCTTAGTGTCATCAGCAAACTTGCTGAGGGTACATTCTATACCCTCATCCAGGTCGTTGATGAAGATGTTGAACAACACCGGTCCCAGCACCGACCCTTGTGGGACTCCACTAGTAACACACCTCCAACCAGATTCTACCCCATTGACTACAACTCTCTGACTCCTTCCTTTCAACCAGTTCCTAATCCACCTCACTTCCTGGTCACCAAACCCATACCTGATCAACTTATCCACAAGGATGCTGTGGGAGACGGTGTCAAATGCTTTACTGAAATCAAGATAAACCACATCTACCGCTCTACCATCATCTATCCACCTAGTAATTTCCTCATAGAAGGCTATGAGGTTAGTCAAACATGATTTACCCTTGATAAAACCATGTTGACTGCTCTTGATGACCCCCATGTCCTTGATGTGCCTGGAGATAGTGACAAGAACAAGTTGTTCCATCACCTTTCCAGGGATGGAGGTGAGGCTGACCGGTCTATAGTTACCCGGGTCCTCCTTCTTGCCCTTCTTGTAGACTGGAGTGACATTTGCTATCCTCCAGTCCTCAGGCACCTCACCTGTTGCCCATGATTTACTGAAGATGATGGAGAGTGGCCTAGCAATGACCTCCGCCAGCTCCCTCAGCACCCTTGGGTGCATTCCATCTGGACCCATTGATTTATGGATGTCCAGATTACTCAACTGATCCCTAACCCAATCCTCATCTACCATGTCAAACTCTTCCTCTATCTTGACTTCTTCTGGGGCTATATGAATCTGGGGCTCATAGGGAGACCCTGCAGGAGTGAAGACAGAGGCAAAGAAGGCATTCAGCACCTCTGCCTTCTTTATATCCTCTGTCACCAGGGCTCCCACCTCATTCCTCAATGGGCCAATATTGCCTCTATTGCTAGTTTTGCTAGCTATGTACTTGAAAAAGCCCTTTCTATTATCCTTAACCTGACTTGCAAGGTTAAGTTCCAAGGAGGCCTTAGCTTTCCTAATTGCCTCCCTACATCCTCTGACAACAGTCCTATATTCCTCCCAAGTGACCAGCCCCTCCTTCCATGATCTATAGATTTTCCTTTTCCACTTAAGTTTGCCCAGTAGTTCCTTCTTTAACCATGCAGGTCTCCTAGCACCCTTACTAGATTTCCTAACCATTGGGACACTCTGATCCTGTGCTTGCAAGAAGTGGTCCTTGAATGTTGACCAGCTATCTTGAGCTCCTTTATTTTCTAGCACCCTGTCCCATGGGATTTCCCTTAATAGATGATTGAGGAGACCAAAGTTTGCCCTGTGGAAGTCCAGGGTTCTGGTCCTGCTGGGTATTTTGTTCCTTCCACACAGGATATGTACTCATATAAAATCTGTTTTGTTGTGATTACATCAGCTCAGTTAAGATTTTATTAGCATTTAAATTCTATCACCATGCCTTACAAATTAGGTAGTTAATATTGTACAAACAAGGCAAACAAATAATTATCTTACTGTATTGCTTAATAATCTACCTGGTCTTCTGACATTTTTCAAAAAGAATTTTCAGCTTCAGTACAATACATTTTTTTTCTACTATGTTCTTGTTTGTTACACAGTTGTCAGGCTTTTCACTCTCAGTCTATCCTTCTTTCTCTCTTTCTTTACCTTTCTTCTTTTAGATTCTGTAGTATTGCTACATTAAAAGAGAAAGCAAGGAGACTTGCTATTAAGGGGAAGAAATTCAAAGTAGAGTGAAAAGTCATAGCAGTACTGTGAATAATTAGAATGCAATGATTCTTTGAAATATAAATATGTGTAATTTTGTAGGAGTGTAAAATGGTTTGGTTTTTTTGTCCCTTGTTTTTTCTTTCTGGGTTTCAGTGTTTAGGAGTAAGGTAGGACAGGTAACAGCTTCTGTTGTTCAAATTTAAAAAAATGGAAGAGAATATTTCAGATTATCCCATATTTTGTTTTATTTTTATTTTTCTATTATAACCACTTATTTATTTGTTTATTTGTTTTATCTAAATGTTGCATTTTAAAATGCTTTTAAATTCCCTCTTTCAGAGGTTTACCTTTTCTGAATTCACAGCTCAGCAAATCTGCAGGAATTCAAAACTGTTTCTCTACCACCACATTTGTTTTTATTATGTATGTCTTCAAAAAGAGGTTATTCTAAACATTACAGATTTACCTATGGATAAGAAATCATGAGTTATAATATTATCTTTTCCAATCCTTTCAGTTCTCAGTTTTCTCAGTCTAGCCTTCTCTTTGACTCAAAGATTCTTCCAAGTTTAGTCCACATTGAAACTTGTTCTGGTTCTTCTACTCCAGAACACTTTACCTATCTCTATTTTTTCCTGTATTTTCTTTATTTTAGAAATTCTCTATTCAGTCAAATCATATATTTGCTCTTCTTACAGCACTGCTTTTCTTTAGGTTCCACTGTAAAATCATTAAAATAAGAAGCTTTTAAAGGCCTTTCAATAGCCCTTGGAAAAGGTCCTATGTATATATTTTGGGGGAAAACCTCCCAAAATCTGCATGGAGTGTTTAGATCACATAAAGAGCAACTCCACCACCTCGCTTCCCCGCCCTGTCTTTCCTAAAAAGCACATAACCATCCATGGCCACATTCCAGTCATGTGAGCTGTCCCACCATGTCTCTGTTATTGCTACTAGATCATAACCCTTAGCCCGCACACAGACCTCTAACTCCTCCTGCTTGTTCCCCATGCTGCGTGCATTAGCATACAGGCATTTCAGGAAACGAACAGAGCACACCGGTGGGACTATTTTGACAGCAAATAAATGCCATTGTGATTTCTCACACATCAGGATCTCATACAAGGAGTGGAGCAAGGACTTCAGTCACTGATAATGACTTGTTATGGTTAAATGTGATTACTTGTCTAAGCCAGGCAAGCCATCCAGGGGAAGAGAACTGCAAGTGGGGTTTCTGTTGCAATGATGATGTTGTTCTTTAGGTGTCTTTCAATGGCAAGGATTGTTCGCAGCCAGAAGTCATCCAGTACTCACTCTGAGAGCATTGTTTCATGTCACATTCCACACTACCTCTCCACTGACAGAGGGAAAGCTGTCATACTATTGGTTTTTTATTTGTTTTTTATTCATTAAAGAGAATCCATATGTACAGTTTGAGTTAGGAGGAGGATCTCAAGGCAGTTTTGAAAGAATAGATACAAATTCCAACTAACAACACTTATATCTAACAGGTGTAATAGCACGGCATCCCCTCTACTATCCATACCTAAAGAAAACTTTAACTGCTCAAGCCTTGGAGAGTTACTTCCAACACCTTTTAGAGCGAGAAAAACCCGAAGCACAACTAGTAACAAGGTGAGTAGGTTGCTGCTCAGTCCACAGTTGCATGGTAGATACATGATGGTATTCAGAACTGAAAGTATGTTAACATAAATACTGCAAATATGTGTGTTGTCTTCAGTACATCTTATGTATCTTTCTTTGCCTTTTTAAATAATAATTTGAACAATAGTAATTGAAAAAGAACATGAACTCGGACCTTTCCTGACGCTGGACAAAGGTGTTGAATCTGTTTAGTGAAAGGATTTAAGTTCTCAAAATGAGCATATTAGTGTTGGGGCTATTTATTTATTTTGTTCCAGTACAAAATGGCTCTACAAAATAGAAATAATTTTGCTTGGTCAAAGAGCTTGAGTTGGAAATTGCAGCTCAAAACTCAGAGTGAGGTTGGAGTTATTTCAACTACTGCTCTTTGAGTTATAAGTGCTGTTCTTTCTCTGCATAAGCAGCTCAGTGCAGATCTTGCCCACTGTTTTGTAACTGCTAACAAATCTGTGTATGTAATAAATTCTTATACCAAGAAATCTAATTAAATTTCCACTGAAACAGAACAGAGAAGGGAAGAAGTAAAAAATGTCATGCTTCCTAATGGTACTTCTAGAAGTTGATTCATTGTGGTTCCTTCATGCTGTTTATGTTCATAAATAAAAGTTGAAATTTGCTGTGTCTGGATGAAGCCAATTTATTTTGATTAATTAGATTATCTGTTCTGGGTTTGGCTTCCTTTAATGATGTGATAATGGAGCTCTGTGAGTGAATTGAAAAACTGCTGAGGAAAAAGAATAAATCTTTTGTGGAAATATTTAGGATTATAAGGATTATGCCCATGTGCTTCAGATTGTGTACTTTCTTTTTAAATTGCTTGTTTATTTTTAGTTTTAGCTGTCATTAAAAGAGCTATCATACTCTTTCATTTTCTTTCCTTCCCTTTATTTAAAATGTGAGTGGTTAAAAAGTGCATTAGTTTTGCTACTAGAAACATACCAACCGTGGCTGTGTCTCACTACAGAACAGAGATGGTCAGCCAGTTGCCTTTCATTCTTTTTAATTAAGGCTATTAAATAGGTGTCCTAAACAGAGAAAATCTGGGATTATTATTGATAGAGAGCACTGAAAACTAAAACTTTCAGATTTTCAGGTAACAGTAACAAAATATGGTCTTTTAACCCCCCCCCACCTCAAACCTGCAAACCTGTGTGATTGCTTCCCCCACCATGTAGAGTACATTCTTAACAGTTAATCAGTTTTTCATGGGCATAGGGGTGATGCACAAGCTCAACATGAAAGGTCAGCCCAATCTGAGGGTGAGGGTAAGAAGACAGCAGTATTCAGACAGAAATTTGCTCCAAATTAAGTAAGGATGTAAGTCTTTTGAATTCTGACTGATACCATCATTAAAATAGCATCAATGCTGCAAGAAGATGAGTAGCTAGATAATACTGCATATGAAAGACTTATTTTTTTTACCTTTAACTATTTTGCCCTTAATATTAGTTTATCTGCATGGTGTTTTGTATTTGAGACTTTATAAATTGAGATCTGATAATCTTAAAATATGGAATAAGAAACTTTCCATTTAGTAGTCCAGTCATTTAAGAAGGATAGTAAAATTGTCCTTTGAGAACTTACTAGTTTCATCTTACGAAATAGTTATCTTTATGCTTTGAGAGGATTCCAGTGCTCAGAAATACAAATATGACAGCTGATTTCTTCTTACTGGATATGTTTAGTAGGAGCTAAAGAACAGAAGAGTGAATACTGATGCTTCTACATTGCTTTTTTGTATTTATGTTTATTATGAGGGGAAAAATATTCTCTACAGTGTATCTCTTATGCAGTCACCTCTTTAGCTTATGGACTCAGTTCCTTATTTCTTCTGATTGGAGGAATCCCATCTTTGTCTTTAAGTGCATCAAACAGTTTCTGTACCATTATTATTTTCATGCATTTTAACAGGGTATTCACAGGGAAATCTGACTTTGAATATACACGGACAGCACTTTAAAGGAAGCAGTTAAGCAGACACCCCATTGGGCATAAGCATAGGAGCTCAGCTAGAACAGTGAATTTTCCTTGCTCTATTGGTTTCTGTCACAGGCAGAGTAGTCTTTGAAGGGTTCATTTGTTTTCTGTGCTTTTTAAAAGCAGCTCTTAAAAATGTTTATTGAGTTGTGCAATTAGATAATATTTTCTTCCTTTAGATCTCAGCTAATTAACCTTAATTGTTTAATTATGCTGGGTAAATGCATGCCAACATTTTGGTTGACTTATTGTTGCTGCTTTAAGACTCTTTTGATGGTTATAGTGTTTGTTTATCATAGGAGTGTTCTTTTTTGTGTAAAATATTTTGGATGCTCAGATGCTTCAAACAGACCTTGAAATATTGAAAATGCTGACCTCTGTATATTATTCTGTAACTCTAGTTTTAGCTAGAGTATTGCACTCTAAATACTTCCTCAAAGTCCTTGAAGTGAGTGTACCATTCTGTGATGTTCCAAATTAGGATGTGTTGCTTGTATTACATGCACTCTCTGCCAGAATTACTGCAGAAAGTGAAACTAAATTCTTCCACTCTTTTTTGTCGTTTGCTTCTGCTTTTGTATGTTCTTCAGTTTCTCTCCTGATTTAAATGATTTGATTCTTCATTAAACTTCTTTTAAGAACTGAGGTATAAGCTTCTGGAATACATATTCTATTAGTCTAGTTTTCATGGAGACATCTGCCAATTGTTAAGTCACTTGCTGCCTGGAAGTTTTTGCCAGTTTTTCAGAGTAACATTTACATGCAGTGCTTTGGTAGACCTCTAGCGCTCATGGTATGTGGTTATTGGTAATCTCTGAGTTTTTTTTAGTTGAAGTTGTTGTGGAGTCCTCTGAACTTTGATGTCGATGATTAAGCTACTAAATTTAGTAAATTATGTAGATGACTGATTGTGGAAATGGCTTTAATTTTCATATCCCTGTTGTCTAGTAGAGCACTGTTGGATTAACAGAGCTTTCCTGCCTCCCCAGTGGATTTGCCTTTAAGCATGATAATGTTGCCTGGCAACAGAACGTTAACACCAGTTTTCTTCTTAATAACAACTAATAATGTTAATACTAAAGTAGAGTGTGATAATGAAAGGGTAAAAGGAACAGTGAAAACTCCTTGCCTGGGAGACAGGTGCAGACACACTGTGACTGCTGCTTGCAAAGTGTTCACCGGGCTGCTCAGCAGAATGAGAGGCTGACCACATCTTCTATGAAAGGTTTGGGTCTTGTGCCCAAGCTACAAAGGCATACGGAGCTGTGAATATCAGCAGCATCCATCATTTTCAAAATGCTAAAAAGGAGCTTAAAAAGCTAAATCTCAGACTGACAAAATTGGCAGTACAAGAGCACTGTGAGAAATTCTAGCTATTTCAGAGGATAGATTTGAAGAAGCTGTCCCAAACAGATGATCAGGTAGATGACTAAAGAAAAATAGGTGATGATGGAGGGAGCGTGATTTAAATTGCAGCAGTCAGTCATTGGGAGACATAGCAATATTGTCTTTCTCTGTTACTCCTCATGTCTTGCTCTGATTGTCATGTTCTGATTAAATCCTTTCCTGTGGAACAAAGGAAAGCTATGGAGTCCTTACACAAAGAAAATATCGGAGGAAAGCAAAAACAAATAAAAGAAGAATACAAGGAAGATGACAAAATATTGAAAAACTGCATGGAGAGGCAAATGGAAATATGCTATGGACTTGTTCATGGAATTTGAAACAACTTTGTTAGGAAACCACTGAGCCATTTGCCAAACTTCTGCAAAAGTTTCCAAATTGGAACTGCACCAGTCAAAAGCAAGGATGGAAAAATGCTTAACGTAGCAATGGAAACGTAGCAATGAAATAGGTCTGTGACACTAAAGTAACATTCAATCAGAGCAAAGTACACGGCTCCAAGAAGGCATTGAAATGTAGCTCTACTTTTCGTTTGTTATAAAATTCTTATGACCAACTACAGATAATTTGATCTGGTGACTCATAGTTATTTCACAGTAATAAAGAGGATGCCTTCTCAATTAGCTGGCAACCTTGGTTAGCAAATAATGGTAGTATTTTTCAGTATCAGAACTAGGAAGTATTAAAAATACTTACCTATGCCCACTGTGTTCACTGAGCTTATACTGGATCTTGAACCTCTTGGCTCTGGAGCTTTCTGTAGGGGATTTAACTCTTAGGGAGAAAATAAATGTAGGAAAAAAACTTGATAGAAATAAAGTAGTTTTGAAGTTGAATAAGAGGAGGATAATTACTTTATGGTCCTACTTTAAAACCATTAAGCACTGTTGATTTGGAGTAAGGGGAAAGAACAAGAAGGCAAGGAAGGCCATGAGTTAATCTTCAGTTAGCTTTTAGGCTTGACTCAGCAGTGTGGGACGCCTTGAAAAGCATGAAGGTTTTGTATGCTGTCTTTTGCTCGATGATCTGTAAAAGTCTTTCTTTCTCAATCTTGTGAGAAACAATGTGTAGATTTTATTTTACAGGTACGAGTTGCCAGGAATCCATGGATTAAATTTTGTCCTGAGGAATTCCCTTGGTGGTGGTGGCATAGCATCGCTAAGAAGTGACCCACAGGCATGTATCAAAGCATTGATTTTATGCCTTAATCTTTTATAACTGTATTACACAGCCATTCTTGGGAGGGATCTGTAAGCTTTTAGTTTTGACTCTTCAGTTCCTTTTAATTTCCTATCAATACACTTTATTTATTTAATTGTTTTAAGGTTGGAAAACAATATAGGAAATATAAAGTTGATGTAGAAAAATATGGGTACAAGAAGCTATTAAGAGAGTCTTCAAATCTATTATGTTCTTTATTATGTGCTACCTGTGGTTTTTGGATGCACCAGCAAAATTAACTTCTTAAATAGTCTGTCGTGTTTTGAAGAATGCAGATTTACAGGACAATTCTGATTAAGTCTTTCCTAGTACATATAGAAGCCATTAACTGTCCAACAACTCCTCTAGCTTACCCTATGACAGTTAAATACTGATAGAATCACAGAATCATAGGGGTTGGAAGTGACCTCGAAACTACATCTAGTCCACCCCCCCTGCCAGAGCAGGATCACCTAGAGCACATCACACCAGGATAATTCATATAAATCTGAAAAACAGCTAGATAGGAGATCTTTTGTGTCAACCACATTATGGGAATATGAAACTAACATTTTTTGCAAGTGTACAATTTCAGTATTAAATATTAGAAACATCTAAACCTGAAGATGAGATCCCTTAATGTGGTGATCGTACGGCCTAGTCTGATGGGGCTCTAAGCAGCCTAGTCTAGTGGGAGGTGTCCCTGCCCATGTTGGGGGGTTGGAACTAGATGATCTTTAAGGTCCTTTCCAACCCAAACCATTCTGTGATTCTGTCTAAGTATAGGCAATGATAAATACTCATAAAACTTAAAAACATACTGAATTCTTACATTGATTATAGGAAAATACCCTATTAAACCATTTTCAAAAACTTAATTTACAAATGTGGTATATTTAGATATTAAAATTAAATGTTGGTTTGTTGTTTTGTTTTGTTTTTCTTACAGGGGAAAGCACTTGGACAGATGCTGCTGGATTTCCAGATTAAAAATGTTCCTGATTTAAAATCACTGATAGAGTAACAGGTGTCTAGTACGTATACTTTTAACACTGATTGGTGTAAAATATGTTATAAACAAGAACTGGCTTCTTGAGTGAGATTTTCTTTTTAAAAGTCAAAGAACAGAAGTTAGTGACAGTTATCTCTCAGAGGCCTAGCTATATGGCACAGATTAGCAAATATTTTGAGTAATACCAGACTAATAGCTTTGTCTGTGACTGATAACATTTCCTGTCTAAATAATACATTGGATGAAGAATTAATTAATTTCCTGTAGAACAGAATTAATCAAATTGCAAGATAACATTTAATTAGGAGTCAAGGTCATCTTTGTTCCAAGATAGAAATTATCTCCTGTTCAGACCATCTCTCTTTTCCTTCTCTCAGTCTTTATTTGAAAGTTAAATGAACTGAAACAGTTGAGCTCCTGTCAGCCATGTTTGTCCTGTGCATAGAGTGAGGCTGGGTAACCTGCTGTTCATTGCTATGAAGTCAGCACTGTCTCCTGCTGAGGAACAGCTTTCTCTAATGGGCAATGAGGAAAAGTAGTTACTGTTACAGTATGACTGGTAGTAAATGCTACCTTTGGTCAGGATCCACTGACTTCCAGCGCTTTGTCCAATTAATGACAGACTTTATGATTACAGTTTCCAACATCTCTTACTAAGTAATCCATTGGTCGAAAGCACTGACTAGCAGTAAATTGTAGATCTTGGCATGGGAATAAATTTGAAGATAAAGGCAGGAGAAAGTGCTATGAGCTAGTCTGCCTGCCTGCTCACGCTTGTGATGGTGCATTCCTGACAGGTAGGAAGGGGGCCGTGTGGTGGAGGGATGGATACCTTGTTTTGTTTCAGGGCTGTGAAGTTGTTATTTTGTGCAACAGAGTCCCATCTGGCTGCACCTCCAATACTGTGTTCCATTCTGGGCCCCTCACTACAGGAAGGACATGGAGGTGCTGGAGCATCTCTAGAGAAAAGCAACAAAGCTGGTGAAGGGTCTGGAGCACAAGTCTTACATGGAACGACTAAGGGAATTGAGGTTTAGTCTAGAGAAGAGGAGGCTGAGGAGAGACTTAATTGCTGTCGATAACTGCCTGAAAGGAGGGTGTAATGAGGTGGGGGTCAGTCTCTTCTCCCATGTGACCAGTGATAGGACAAAAGGAAGTGGCCTGAAGATTGGGTATTAGGAAAAATTTCTTCACTAAAAGAGTAGTCAGGCATTTGAACAGGGTGCCCAGGGAGGTGGTCGATTCACCATCCCTGGGAAGTGTTCAAAAAACATGTAGACCTGGAACTTCGGGACATAGTTTAGTGGGCATGGTGATGCTGGGTTGATGGTTGGGCTTGATGATCTTACAAGTCTTTTCCAACCTTAATGATTCTGTGATTGTCATTTGCATTGCCCTTCCCTCACAAAGGTCCACCAATGTTCCACAAAAAGGTCTGTTTCCTGCTGTTAAGGAATACCATGTTGAATATAGTGTGCTCCATCTCTATTCTGATGCCCAGTCTTCACCTCCCCATCTCCTTTGCTGCACAATATAAGTAGCATGTTCAAATTGGGATGCTCATAAACTTCTTCACCTGATTAAACAGAAACTTAAAAATCTATATCCTATTTCCTGGGACAATACCACTGTGATAGTTCTGGCCCAGTAACTCTGTATTTCCTCTGCAGCAACCATATAAATACTACTTCATGTGTTTGGGAATTTAATATTCAGAAATTAATATTTCCCTTTATTTTGGGGTGACTGTATTAATTGTTAAGTGCTGACAAAATGAGACGTTACTAATACCAGAAAATAATATGGAAAAAAGTATTTTTAAATTGCCACCAGAACTGTTAGTTTTTTCTAATCTCAGTCTGTGCTACCACTGTTGCTAAATTCCTAGTCTCTTGCTTGCTAATGAGGACTATACACTGAACTGTTCCCACCTTTTCTGTGGCTTTATTCATTTGAATTAAGGTATCATAAGTGAAAATTTTATGCATCTAAACATGTTACTCTGTTAGCAAGTCGTAAGTACTATCTGTGTATACAGCGTGATTCGGTCTAGTAAACAAAAGAGTTAGTATTTCATTGCAGAAAAATAACCAACTTAATAACTTCAAAGGGAAAAGAGCATGCTGGTTTTATTGTATTTACAGTCGATTGTAAGAAAAACCAGTAATAATTTGGAAGCCTGTTTAGCAAAACGGACAAAGGTATTGAGAGGAAATAAAAAAAAAATAAAAAGTAATAGACCTCAGCAAACCTACAAGGATAAAAAGGCTATGGCAAATATTTGCAGTTCACTCAGTATGCTGCTTAAGTGACTGTAAATGTGTATGCAATGATTTTTTAATAAAAGCCAACATTCATAAACAATAAATTTTAGAAATGTATGTTATTTCTTCTACTGGAAGAGAGTGGTACGTACTTTACAGGTACTTTGTTTTGAGGTTGTTTCACTTGCTGACAATTTTGTGCCTAGTCTTGCTGGGTCCCTTCTTCACGTTTTGTCTCTTCTGTTCCTAGTCCTTGTTAAATACAAAAACTGAGAAAGTGATGCTGTTTTCTAGAGAGCTGGTCATTTACAGCTCTACAGTGGAAGCTGTAATTTCCTGAAAGGAATGGAACAGTGTTCAAATGGATTGGATATGGGAATACAAAGGCGTTATTTTTTGTAATCTCTGGAATTGCCTTTCTGGATGCTGTGAAACCATCCTTCACAAACATGTTTTCTGCCCAGTATTTATTTCAGTGAGCCAGCTTAAACCAAATGGCATTGCTTTTCAGAAAATGTTCTTGCAAATTATAGTCCCCAAAAACCTCTATCCAAAGATTTTGTTCTATTTGACCTCCTCAACGTTCATGAACCTAAACTTGTTCCAGCAATCCCAGCTAACCTGAAAGTTTGTTAAAGCTGCATTTGTTTCTTCATCTGTGGTAGATGATAAAATTGAGAAAGGTTTGGTAAAACATAAATTGTACTTGAAGGTGCATGTGTATGCTGTCAGTTAAAAATGCATTTTGCCTACTTGTTAAACCAGGCTGTTCCTTATATAGAAAAGAATTTGCCCTTCCAACTGCCTTTCTTTTCTGCCTTTCTTTTTCCCAACTGCTTTAGCTGTGATGTCAGGATCGAAATAATAATAATGTCTAGCTTACAAAATAAGGTTCCATCTAATATACAAGTTTTGGTGTCATGGAAACTGGCTTACACCTCTTACCTGGAAAGTTTTTGTGCTATGGCTCATCTGCATTACAAAACAAAGGCTGCATTGTCTTACCTCTTGCAGCTTTCTTACTGCATCTCACCTAACTCTCAAAAATAAATAATGGGTTTTATCATTAAATTATTCTACACAGCTAACTGTCAAAATACTTTGTCGATGTTTGCTGGTTTATGTTTAATAATTCAAAGTGATTTTCCCACTGCAATTTGTGTGTTAAAGGTACAAAAGTTATTATACTGAAGTGGCTCAAGATAAAGGATGTGCCAGGAGGGTTTGAGGCACAAAGTGAATTTTCAGTTTACCCATCTCCAGTGGAACCAGTTTTCCACTAAAATACCAGGGGAAGGGTTTCCCCTCCAGAGCAGAGGAAAAATAATAGTAGGTATAGCTTTTAAATAATGTTTTGCATTGTGGCAGTTTAAAAGTAATAGGAGAGCAGTCCTTAAGGTCTGAAAGTGGAAAATCCTGGCTTGCAGGTTGCCTTTCAAGATCTGAATGGCTTCATTCAGAAATGACACTGGTAATTGTATTAAGTGATTTGCACACAGTAATGCTTGTGGCAGTTGCAAGGTAGTGGTGAAGCATTACCCGGGCAGTGGATTTCTGCAGCTGGGTAGGTGTGTTGGCCGTTTCACAGACCTGTCAGCTGCATGATGTCTTTTGCATGTGTTCTGGTTGGGGATTCTGGGCCTGAGAGTGAGCAAGAGTCTGGGAGAAGGCGGGGGGATGGAGTGCTGAGAGAGGAGGCTCATTAGTGCCTCAGGTATGAAGAAATCATGCTGCAGAAATGTCACACCTCTCATCGTGTTTCTTTGAAGCCCTGCCAGGCAGTAAGACTTTCAGTCCTTGTAGTGATTCATCCTCTTTGGTTTCATCCTGGTTTCCTTTCCGGATTTACTTGAAATGGACCCTGGTGATTTTTGGATTAAAGCTAACTAGCATTAAGAAAGCAAACACAGGATGCCTCAGAGTAAAAGATCCCATTGGGGAATGTCTGTTCCTGCCCGGGAGTTCCTCTGCTTTCTTTTGGGCAGAGCAGAGAAATCTGAACTGTGGGACTGAAGCATCTCTAACATTTATTTTAAAGAAGACCGTACAGACACTCCCTTGACAGCTTTGGGGAAGGGGAAGGATGGGTGTCTTGAGATGACAGCACAGGGCAGGACCCGTGCTTATCCTCCTTGGAGGGAGAGGGAAACCTTTCTGTACCAGGACTTTGTGTGGCTCCTTGATAAATTATTGGCTGTGGCACAGTGCTCCAACTCTGGAGGAGCCAATATGATTATCACCAAATGGGTGAGACCCTTTATCATGATAAGGGAGTTTAATTTTTTATTTTTTCCCTGTCTCTTAAAAATAATGCACTAGTTAAGAAAAGTTCCCCCTCCTCCCCGTTTTTATCTACTAGTAGCAAAAGCTTCAAACCTTCCAAATATATTTAAAACATCTGGATTTGAGAAGATGCTATTTTAATTATATATGTGGCTGGTGGCTAATCCACAAGATTCCTACCAGCATCATAAGCCACAATCTGTAAGGTATTTTATCTTTTGTAAGTGATCCAATTTGAAGCAGGGAGCTTTAGAGGACTACGCCTTCTGTTGGGTAAGGAATTGGCTATGACTCTGCAGGGAAAATCCCAAGTGCCTGATCACTGCGGGAAGAAATGTTGGGGCTCTGGCCTGTAATCAGCAACCAAATGTGGTGGTGGGCCTCTCTGCAGATGAAGCAAGGTGAAGATAATCTTCAGTTCCCCAGGAAGCTGCTCTTTGCTCTGAGCAGGAGGAAACAGGAGGGCAACACCAGCCATCATTTCTTCTTGGAAAGCAGTGAGGTAACCTGCTCCCCTCAAGTGTTTTCTTCACTGAGTGGAAAACCTGCTTTGGTGCATTGATAAGCCTTGTTTTTCCTGTGCACAAGATCCTGCCTGGAGCCTTCGTTTGGTGTCTGTGGTGGTAGGAGGCTCTCACCTGTTGGGTCCTTCACATCCCCTTTGTCTTTCCATTCATGCCAGAGCTGTTCCCTGATGGAAAGGAAAGGGATGGTGAACC